TCTGGGGGGGGTCGGGGGTTAGGAGAGGTTGATGGGTTTCCCTTCTGGAACTCCTCAAGGGAGGGTTTTCCAGTTGTTGTTTCCCCACATGCTTAGTGGGATGCTTGTTTGCTTCCCACCCGCGTCGCACCCGCTTCTTCCTCACTCCTCCCTCTCCTTCTCCTTCTCATCGGCACTATCGCTGACAGCACGCACACACACACACGACACACACACACACACCACACAACACACACACACACACACACACCACACACCACACAACACACAACACACAACACAACACACAGCTCGCGCACAACACACGCCCAACACACACGGGAGGGTCTTCCCGCCACACTAGGCTTGGCGTTCCCACCGCATTGGACACACACACACACATTTACACACCACACAACAACCTATGTCCTTGCCAGTCTCACCGCATTGGGTACACACGCACGCACGCACGCACGCACGCACGCACGCACGCACGCACGCACACGCGCACGCACGCGCACGCACGCACACACACACACACACACACCACACACACACGCACACGCACACGCACACGCACACGCGCACGCACGCGCACACGCACGCACGCGCACGCGCGCACGCGCACGCGCACGCGCACGCGCACGCGCACGCGCACGCGCACGCGCACGCGCACGCGCACGCGCATGCGCACGCACACGCACACGCACACGCACACGCACACGCACACGCACACGCACACGCACACGCACACGCACACGCACACACACACGCACACACACAGACCACATACTGGGCATCTACATGAGACACATGTCCAGTTCAGCCGCACGCGCACACACGCACACACATGCTCACGCACACGCACACACGCATCATACACATGTACGCGCCAATGTCGCAGGACCCAGCAGGCGTGGCACTTTCACGACGTCAGAGGGGGCACCGCGGTCTCTATACGCGCCAATGTCGCAGGGCCTAGCAGGCGTGGCTCTTTCTCCACGCCAGGAGGGTGTACGCAAGGAGTGGTCCCCCACCGCGGTCTCTATACGCGCCAATGCCGCAGGGCCTAGCAGGCGTGGCACTCTCGACGTCAGGGGGGGTGTGCAGGGGGTGGTCTCCCACCGCGGTCTCCATACCCGCCAATGCTGCAGGGCCTAGCAGGCGTGGCACTTTCTCGACGTCAAAGTGGGGGCACAGGGGGTGGTCCCCCCACTGGGGCTTCTATACGCGTCAAAAACGCAGGGCCTAGCAGGCGTGGCACTTCTCGACACCAGAGGCGGGGGACGCAGGGGGTGGTCCCTCACAGCGGAAAGTATACGCGCGAGTGTCGCAGGGACTACCAGGCGTGGCACATTCTCGACGTCAGAGAGGGTGCGCAGGGGGTGGTCCTTCACCGCGGTGTCTATACGCGCCAGTGCCGCAGGGCCCAGCAGGCGTGGCACTTTCACGACGTCAGAAGGGGGGGGCGCAGGGGGTGGTCCCTCATCACGGTGCCTGTACGCGCCAATGCCGCAGGGCCTAGCAGGCGTGGCATTTTCTCGACGTCAGAGGGGGTGCGCAGGGGGTGGTCCTTCACCGCGGTCTCTATACGCGCCAATGTCGCAGGGCCCAGCAGGCGTGGCACTTCCTCGACGTCAGAGGCGATGCGTTGCGTAGGGGGTGGTTCGTCACCACGGTTTCTATTGCGCCAATGTCGCATGGCCTTGCAGGCGTGGCACTTTCTCGACACCAGAGTGGGTGCGCAGGGGTTGGTTCCTCACCGCGGTCTTTATACGCGCCAAAGACGCATAGCCGAGCAGGCGTGGCACTTTCTCGACACCAGAGGGGGTGCGCAGGTAGCGCAACAGCCTTGACATCCGCGAAGAGGGTTCAGAACGCTGGATAGCGCGTAGATGCCAACATGATAAGCGAAAGCATGAGACTTAAAACTGAGTATGTGGGGTTCCTCGGTAGAGTAATGTTTGTTTTTTTGGGGGCCCCCCAGACCCCCCTCAAGGGAAATGCTTGGGGAGGTTAGAGGGGGTTGGTGGAGTGCACTGAACCTGCTTCTCAAAGAGGGTTTTTGGAGGGTTTGGATGGGTCGGTAGGTTTTCCCCTGGACCCCCTCCTTTTCAAGGGGGATTTCTTGGGGGGATTAGGAGGGTTTCGTCGGCTCCCCCCCAGACCCGCCCTGAAGAAGGGTTTTTGAAGGGTGTTGCGGGAGGAATGGTGGGTTTCCCAGCAGGACCCCCCCTCAAGGGGGGTTCTTGGTGGGGTTGGGGCGGGTTAGTGGGTTTTCCCCGGCAGACCCCCTCAATGAAGGTTTTCTGTGTGGTCGGAGGGGTTGGTGGGTTTTCCCCCTCAGGAACCCCATCAAGGGGGGTTCTTCGGGGTGTTAGGAGGGGTTGGTGGGTTTTCCCCCCAGGACTCCCTCCTGAAGATGTTTTTTTGGGGGGGTTAGTGGGGTTGGTGAGTTTCCCCCCAGCAACCTCCCCAGCCTCTTGGGCCTTGTTTGCCTTGTTGGAGGCCTCTTAGGGGCCTCTTGGGTTATCTAGAGGCCGTCTTGAGCCGTCTTAGAGGCATCGTGTGGCCATCTTGGGTTCTCTTGGGGCCATCTTGGCCGTTTTTGAGCAATCTTGGCGGCCATGTTTAGCCATCTTGGCCCTCTTGGAGGCGATTTGGGCAATGGGACACGTATTCTCGGCAACGTTGTGGGTCCTTCGGATGGCCGTCGGGATCGGCCGAAAGCCCACAGGGAATTTTGAAGCGGACCAGGAAATACCGAAAGTGTGGCACGCCAAACACTCCCGTGCCAAGCCAGGGGGGGCGGCGGCTCGCAGACGCCTGCGGTGAACCAGCTCCGCGGCCCGCCTTTGAGGATGCGCCTATGTGGCCAAACGCTTGGGCAAAAGTTCGGCCAAGCTGTTGGACCATGTGCTCCTCACCGAGCGCGTTCCACTGCTCGCAGAGTGCCTACTCGCAAACGTCCGAAAAGCACATGTCGGCTTCGATGTAATTTATCGTAGATCCCCCTGCGGCGGATCCAGGCCATTTGCGAGTAGTTGCTTTGCGAGTAGTGGAACGCGCTCGACTAGCTCCCCCAGCCGTTGTCTAAACCCTTCGGAGAACCGCGGCGGGCGGACAACGGGCGAACGGGCTGACCGGCGGGCGGCGGGCGGGCGGATCGGGATTGCAGTAGAACTTCCTGAGGGTTCTCGCTTGCAGCGGGATGATGCTGCATAGCAGGTGCTGTGTTGGAGGCGGAGGCTGCTGAGCACGAGGTGCTGTGTTGGAGACGGAGGCGGTTGAGTATTGGGTGCCGTGTTGAACATGGAAGCACGGCGGGCAGGCGGCCTGCGGTGGGCGGCGGGCCGGCGGCGGGCGGGCGGGTCGGGATTTTGATAGAAGCCCTAGGGATTCGCGCTTGCAGCGGGATGCTGGGGAGTACTGAGTGTTGTGTTGGACGGAGGCTGTTGAGTACCAGGTGTCGTGTTGGAGACGGAGGTAGTTGAATCTTGTGTGATGTGTTGAGCGCGGAACACGGCGATCGGGCGGCCGGCCGGCGGCGGGCGGGCGGATCGGGACTGCGATAAAATGCCCAAACATTATTTCTGGCAGCGGGATGCTGTGGAGAACTGAGTGTTGTGCTGGGGACGGACGGAGGCCGGTGAGCACTGGGCGTTGTGTTGGAGACGGAGGCCGGTGAGAATTGGTCTTGTCATGTAAGCACGGCGGGCGGGCAGACGCCGGGCGGCGGGCGGGCGGTTCTGGATTCCAGTAGAATTCCTGAGGTCTCGGAGGTGGATAGACCTTCTACTGGTTTTTGGCCGTTTTCGGTTCGCGAGAGGGCGTCGCGGCCGCCCTTTTTGCGGGTCCAGGTCCGTGGGTTTCGGTCCCAGGCCGTTTTCAATAAGGGGAGGTTTACTAAAGGGAGGTTTGTCCACCGCCGAAGGTCTCTCTCTCTCTCTCTCTCTCTTGGAGCGGGATGCTGTGGAAAGACAAAGGCTGTTGAGTGCGAGGTTTGCGTTGGGCACTGATGCTTTCCAGTGCCGGATGTTGTGTTGAACACGGGACGCGGCGATCGGGCGGCGGGCGGAGGGCGGCGGGCGGGTGGATCGGCGTCTTAATATAACTCCTAAGGATGCTCCCTCGCAGCGGGATGCTGCTGAGTACTGAGTATTGTGTTCGAGAAGGAGGCTGTTGAATACAAGGTGTTGTGTTGGAGACGGACACGGTTGAACACTGGGTAGTGTTTGAACGCAGAATGTTGTTGAGTACTGATTGTTGTGTTGGAGACGGAGGCTGTTGAGTACCAGGTGTTGTGTTGGAGACGGGCTTTGTTGAATATTGTGTGTTGTGTTGAAGACGGAGGCACGGCGGGCGGGCAGCGGGCGGCGGGCATCGGGCTGGCGGCGGGCGGGCAGATCGGAATTTCTTGAAGGATGTTCTTCTGTCCTCAGTCCGACTGTAGGTGGAGAAGGGGGGATGAAGAAGGAACAGGCCCAGACCCCCGACGTCATGATTTTTGTTCATGACGTCGACACCCAGAAGTCTCGACACATTCCCCGGGACCCGCTCTTCATCCCGAGTCTTTGTTTGACGATCCCGAGCCCTGGCAAGGGCCTCCCAAAAAGCCGAGAATAGCGAACAGCCTCCTGTCGTGATTTTTTCGTGACCCGAGGGGGTTTGGGGACCGAGACCTCCGACGACGGCAACGCCCTGATGGGGCCGTCCGGCCGGCATGACCCTGGCGGTGCGCCAGGGCCAGGGCCGCCAAGGCGAGGCCTCGCTTCCAGCCGCCCATGGGGATTGAGAACCCGCGCCGGGGGTGGCCCCGCCGCCTGCTTGCCCATGAGGAGGAGGAGGAGGAGCTCATGCTCTCCCTCCTTTTCCTCCTCCTCCTCCTCCTCCTCCTCCACCTCCTCCTCCTCCTCCTCCTCCCTCCTCCACCCCCTCGAGATCCTCCTCCTCCTCCTCCTCCTCCTCCTCCTCCTCCTCCTCCTCCTCCTCCTCCTCCTCCTCCTCCTCCTCCTCCTCCTGTCCGTGCGTTTGGGCCCGCTGCGACTTCCCGCTCGGGCTCCTCGTCGAGAGAACTCGCCGCTCGCGCTCGGCAGCCCCGGCCGGGCGCGCGCGGGCCGTCATGCCGCGCCGGGCGGCCGCGGGAGGGGCGGCCCTGCTGTGCGCTGCAGGGCTCGTCATCGGCGGCACGCGCGAGGATCAGAGGAGAAAAAGGTACCGACACCGCTGCCATTCCCACGTTTTCCCCGTTGTCCCCTCAGCAGACCCCCTCGAGTGATGAACAAAAGCCATGACGGGAGGCTGTTCGCGCCAATTTCGGCATCTGGGGGCCCTTCCCCGTCCTCGGGACCGTCAAAAAACGACTCGGGATGAAAAAACAGTCCCGGGGAAGAGGTAGAAACCTTTAGGGGTCGACGTCATGGAAAAATCATTACATCGGGGGTCTGGGTTGTTGGGCCTCCTGGGAGGCCCCCGTCGCCACCGCTGGATTCGCCTCGAAATCCTGGTGAGAACGCACCCCAGGAGAGGTCCGGGGAGTAGCGGTATCCGTATTTTTTGGTTTCCCCACAGACATCCGACGCCTCAGCATGAGTCGAGACAGCGGTCTTTTGCATGTGCCGTTCTCGGCCTCCCGGGGCCCGCACAGGGCCTCGGGACCGTCGAGAAGCGGCTCGGGAGGAGACGCCGCTCCCAGGGCATTGGTCGAGAGGTCGAGGGCCCCGGCCTCGGAAAAGGTGGAGACGCCGGCTGTCTGGGGACCTGTCGACATCTGGCTGCTCCAATTTCTTCGATGCGTGGGCCCCGGAGGTTTGGACCACTTTCCCAGGGCCAGAGTTTTGCGTCCCAGGCCGTCTGTTGACGGTCTCCTCGCGAGGCCGAACGCGAGGGCCCCTGGAGGCCGAAAAACTGCCAAGAGCCGCCCGCTCCGATTTCTGTTGGATGGTGGGCCAGTTTTCCCCACCAACACCACCACCACCACCACCACCATAAGTTGGAGGGTGGAAGGAGGTGGAGGATGAGGAGGAGGAAGAGGAGGAGGAGGAGGAGCAGGAGGAGGAGGAGGAGGAGGGGGACCCCCTCCCCCTCCTTCTTCTGGGTGGTGGCGGTGGCGGTGGAAAAAGCAGGCCCACCATTGGAGCGTCGGACCTCTGTGGAGGGGGTCGGCGGCCGCGTGCGAACCCTGCCCCACCCCTCCAGGGCCTCTGGAAGGGCGAGGGTGGGGCTTGCTTCGCTCGGGAGCGCCCGAGCGAAGGGAACCCCACCTCCCCCCTCAGAGTCCGTGGTGGGATGGGGTAGGGTTAAGTCGGGCCTGTCCCTTCACAGGAACTATATTCAAAATAGTATATTCAAAATAGTCACACAATAGTCTGGGGACGATGGTTTTGATTATTTGTTTTCTCTTTTTGCATTGTTCTGGAGAACTGTTGGATTTTTCACCCAAAATTCCCGTGTAGGAGGGCATGCCCGACGTAAGGGTAGGGCTCGCACGTGGCCGCCTCGAGGAGGTCTTCTCCCTCGTCGGCGCGCCGGCGGGCGCCGGTGCCGCCAGCCTCGTGGCGCGGCCACCTCGCGCCGCGGGCGCCGCCGCGCCCGGCACGCCAGGCCCCGAGCCTCGGAGGAGGAGAAGCCGGCATGGGCATGCGAGCGAGGGAGCCGGAGTGGAGGGTTGCTCGGGTGGGCTTAGGCGACCCCTCCTCCTC